ATGTCTGCAAGTTAAACCGACTTTGGTTGATGAAATTAAAGCTAAGCAGCCTCTTGATAGCTCCTTGCTATCATCTTTGAGCAAGTAGAGCAGGGGGTAATCTCAGATTTTGCCCTTGATCATGATGAAGTTTTATGCTTCAAAGGTCGCTATTGTGTGCCTGATGATGTTGAGTTGAGGCAGACAATCCTTAATGAGGCTCACAGTAGTCCATATGTTATGCACGCCGGTGGAGATAAGATGTACCAGAATTTGAGAGAGAGGTATCATTGGGTCGGCATGAATAAGGATATCTCGAATTTTGTGGCTAGGAGTTTGACTTGTCAGCAAGTTAAGACAGAACATCAACATCCATCAGGTTTGTTACAGCCTATTAAGATTCCTGAATGGAAATGGGAGCGTATTACTATGGATTTTGTTACTGGCTTACCTATGACTCCTTCGAAAAAAGATTCAGTTTGGGTGATTGTTGACAGACTTACAAAGTCAGCTCACTTCATTCCTGTGCGGGTAAACTATACTTTGGACAAGCTGGCGAGATTGTATATTTCAGAGATTGTCAAATTACATGGTGTTCCATTTTCTATTAATTCTGATCGAGATCCGAGATTTACTTCGAGATTTTGGAAGGCGCTACATACGGCTATGGGAACAAGATTGGATTATAGTACATCCTTTCACCCACAAACTGATGGTCAATCTGAGAGAATGATTCAGATTCTGGAGGATATATTGCGGGGTTGCGTAATTGATTTTTGTGGTAGCTGGGAGAACTTTTTGCCGTTAGTTGAATTTGCTTACAATAACAATTATCAGACCAACATTCGTATGACACCCTACGAAGCACTCTATGGGCGTAGATGTCGCACCCTGATTTGTTGGACTGAGTTGCGTGATAGGAAGACTTTGGGACTTGAGTTAGTACGAGAGACGGAGAACACATTCAAATTAATCCGGGACTGTCTGAAAGAGGCATTTGATAGGCAGAAGTCTTATGCAGATCAAAGAAGAAATGATATACAGTTTGAGGTTGGAGATCAGGTCTTTTTAAAGGTATCCCCGTGGAAGAAAGTACTGAGATTTGGGCGTAAGGGTAAGTTAAGTCCAAGATTTATTGGACCTTTTCGTATCATGAAGAGGGTAGGACCTGTTGCATATCAGCTTGAGTTGCCTTCCCAGCTTAGTCGTATTCATGATGTCTTTCATGTATCAATGTTAAGGCGATACCGTTCAGATCCAAGTCACATCATTCAGGTTGAAGAGGTAGAGCTGAGACCTGATTTATCATATGAGGAAGAGCCCATTCAGATCTTAGAAAGGGATGAGCGATTTCTTCGAAATAGGCGAATTCCAATGATCAAAGTTCAATGGAGTAATCGAGGCCCCTCAGAAGCTACTTGGGAGACATTGGAGTTGATGGAGGCTCAGTTTCCTCATATATTTTCATAAGGTAAATTTCGAGGACGAAATTTCTTTTAGAGGGGAAAATTATCACACCCCATAATTTCATTATAATATAATAAATAAATATATCTTATATCACTATAAATAAACTAATAGCACTATAAATAAAATAATAAGCATTATAAATATTATAATAGCATTATGAATAAAATATAATGAAGTGGGAGACAATGTCATAACCACTTAGTTTTTTATTGTAAACATTAAATGGTGGGTTTATATATTATTAGGAGATAACCCATTAAATCTGAAGAAAAAAAAACCCTCTCCTCGTACAGAACCAAAAACTGATTTTTTTCAGTAAACCCATTCTTGATATCATTCAGCCTGTTTTCTTCGATCGGTGGTGCGGTGCACCGTCGTGTCCTTCAGTATCAGCAACAACCATCGGTACAACCCCGACTAACCCAGTTCCGAAATCTATCACAGATAGACTGAATCGAGAAGGGAAATCGACACTTAAAACCCCGATCGTCGTTTTAAGTTTTGTCGATTCTGGCCATTCCAACAACTGTCTTGTTTTGTTCATCCGCCGTAGGTAAAGTCAGATCGTTTAATTTGGATAATATTTCAGTGTTTAGATTGAAAACATATTATAGTTGGTGTTGGTTTAGATTGTTGATAAATAGTTTTAAAAGAGTGATAAATACGTAATTAATTTCGGTTATGGTGTTATTTTCATAATTATTTTTAAAAAGGGTGTTATTTTCGTAATTACTTTTAAAACGGTGATATTTTTGGCAATTATTATTAAAACAGTGATATTTTGGTAATTATTGTTAAAACGGTGCTATTTTGGTAATTATTGTTAAAACGGTGATATTTTGGTAATTATTGTTAAAACGGTGATATTTTGGCAATTATTGTTAAAAACATTGATATTTTGGTAATTGTTTAAAAATTGATATTTCTGTAATTTTTTACTATGGACTATTGAACCCCTTTGACCATAACTTTGACCTGTTTTAAACGGCCATTAAACGACATTTGATTTTGTTCGAGTATACCTATTCTGACATTTTTCGACGTGCCGAATCCGTTTCTCCAAATTCAAAACCGAAGGTCTCCAAATCATCATTCAAACCCGTTGACTTTGACTTTGACTAAAAATTCGAATTTTTGAAAAGTCATACTTTATGTTTTTCGACGTCCTAATTCCGATTCCGTAATCTGTTTAGTCAAATTCAGACACTAAAGTCTCCAAATTGATAGTCAACCCCGAAAAAGTGCATATGTACTTAAGAGTTTTAGCTTTGAATGATTAAGTAAGACTTGAGACTGATAAATGATTATTATTTGAAGGTACAAGAGACTATCATGATCGCTCGACAGCTCGACCCAACTCCTCTAGATCAGTTAAACCGCGTGTGCCAGTATTTACCCGTATGACCCGTAAATCTTATAATTTCAGAAATTGATTATGTTACCCTCTAGTAATGTAGTGTTATTATGAATTAGGTTCGAAAACTATAGCAGAGCGTGGCGAGGCCAGTACTCAGTAGATCTACAGTTTGATCCTATTATCGAGGTGTGTTCCCTAAGTACTATTTAATTGTTTTATCTGTTTTGAAATATGGTACATTGAAAGCTATGATTTATTGTTTATTGATGGTTTATGGACAATGACTGATATATGACTATTGGTTTTCATTAATATATGATAACGATGTTTACTGATTTATGGAAATTATGCTTACTGCATAAATAGTATTTTTGAAATACTGATTTTTGGGTTGGATTGAATTACGGAGGTATAGCTCTGATCAAACTGGTAAACCTTACGGACTTAATAGACTCTTGGGTAGGCTCACGAGCCCCAATATACTCTATTAGGTTGGCCCTCTTTGCTGTGTGCTTAGATTAAGCCCTATGGACCTAAGGATACAAGCCCAAAAGCTTATCCTTAGGTAGGTTCCTTTTTGTTGTGTGCTTAAGGTAGCCCTACAGACGCGGTTCTGAGGAACTGCGGTTGGTGTACAGGAGAGGAGATTTAAACTACGAGTTTCAAAAGTTAAACTTCATTATGATTTTATGATGATTTACTGAACTATTACTCGGTTATTATACCTACTATGATTTTATTGTACTATTGGGACACACTGAGCCTAACTCACTTTTCGAAAAAAAATTTCTCCTTTCAGATACTGTTGGTTAGATACCCCATATCGAGCACTTGGAGAATCAACATATATATTGAAGTACATCTATTTGTAATGCTTTTATATTTCAAGTTGACTTTATTTTGGTAACATGGGCATTTATTTGAAGTATTTATTTCAGAAATGAATATTATTCCGCTATTGATAATTGGTTTATAGTGATCCAAATTCTACGACATGTTTTAAAAATTAAATTTTTAACTATTTAGTTTTATATTCATGAGTTAGGTTTTATCGTAATTTATTATATCCTTTTATAAATGTATTTATAATGTGATTTTACATTGATCAAATAAGGGTTTCGGAAAATGTCTTTAAAAATCATAGATGTGTTCCGTTAGACTTAATCAAAACGCATAGGTTGGGTCTAGGGGTTACAATTTTAATAAAACATTAAATTAGTTATTCAAAGTATTAAATATGCTTTGGTTCTATCAAAACTCATTTGTAAATTTTTGCTTAGATTCCCTGAAAATGTAAAAAAACAACTATGATAAAATTCTTTTGAAAAACACAACAAAGTAAAAAAGATAAAGATAAAGATAACAGTATGAGAAACATTAATTAGACAGGTTGAGTTGAAGACTTGGAGTGAGAGGCAGAGGGGTGAGTGGAGCGGAATTCGATCTTGCAGCTGAAGCACAAACCAAAGGATTTGCGTTTCTTGCTCATATGGTAAGCTATTACCAGAAGCAGAATAGCTATTAATATTCCCGCCGCGATCCAAATAAGGGTTGTTGAAGAACTGCCGCTATTTTTACTAAACCACGCATTCGGATCACTGCCGTCGGCATATGAAGTCGACATTATCAACAACAACAAAGAAGAAGAAGAAGAAGAAGAAGAAGTAGAAGAAGTAGAAGAGGAAGTAGTAGTAGTAGAGTGTTTATTTGGCAGCGACTGGTATTGTTTTCAAGTTGAAGCAAAGTGGGTTGATTGCTTACATCATACTGTTATGTACCATGTTAACTCAACTTTAGATTCTTAAAATTTGAAACCCTGTTTATATTATGTATATTTTCACTTTTATTTGAAATCCTTTACGTGTTTTATAATTTATATATTTCTTAAAAGTCGAAGAAAAAATGTTCAACTTTACGTTTCCTCCCCCCCTCCTTTCATCATTTCATTTTTAAAGTCGTCAAAATAAGAGTTACACATTCTAATACTACTTTAGAATCATTTATGATGCTAATACAGTTACAAGTGCATTTTAACAGTTTTGAAAGTTGTCTGTGATTTCTATAAGAATAACGGACGGTGACAGTAGAGTTTCCTATTTGATAAGACCAGGGGTAGAATATTAAAGCATGTTTTGTATTTGATCGTTACACATATGAACAGTTCGTCTGGAATATTAAGCATAACTCTTTGAAGTTGCAGTAAAATTGCAGTTTCGTACTTAACACGTCGTGTTCATAAACCCAAGAATGAAACCCTACATCATGAACCAAGTATGGTCCCTCCATTGTGGTGTAACTTGTGTTGCACGACATTATAAATCCACCATCTCAAGATGAATGTTTAAGATCCTTCAGCGTCTCAGACACAGCTGAAAAGTCCAAGTCTCCCAGTCCCATGCTTCTAGCCTTCTTGAAAGCCTACAAGCCAAATAAATCAATAACAAGTTTTGGTTTTGTCTACAACTATTATAAAGATAAAGATTGAAACCTCATAGGCAGCAGCAGCTACTGGCATTGGAACTGCATTTTCATCCCCAAGGGCAAGAGCCAACCTCATGTCTTTCTGTTGATGTTTCAAAGGAAATGCAGGGGAATAGTTGTTCTGGAGCATGGCCGGTCCTTTTCCTTTGAACATCGGGTTAGCAATGGCACCCAAGTCCTGCCAGAAAGTAGGTCGGTCACTCCAAGTTACCACAACTTGACAGAATATTAAGCAGTTGCAGCAATCTTACCAGCACATCAAGAAGGTCATTCGGGTTCAGTCCGCTTCGATCAGCTAGTACGAGTCCCTCCGAAAATGCATTCATCATACTGCAGAAGAAAAATAACTATGGTGAATGCCTTGACCTTTGAGTTCATGGAGTTCTCAATCGATAGTAGGAAGGAAGCTAATGTATAAGCAAGTTGCATAAAGTGTTGACAACAATGCAAAACTGATCATTCCAATTCTATTACAAAAATAATTTAGTAATACAAAAGTTCTTTTGCTTTTAATTAAAGGTTTACCAACCATTCAAAATCGATCATTCCAACTTATTCATCAAAGAAAAGCTACATTACTTGGATTCGAGGGCAAGTTTTTTTTCTTAGAGTCATTGAAGGGTTACATGCTAAAACCCAGTTCGAATATGAACAGGACATCGAAAAGAGCCACCATTACCTGCCCATGATCATGTTGACAACGAGCTTCATTTTGGCTCCATTTCCAACTTTTCCCAAGAAGAAAGACTTCTTTCCCAAGATATCAAAAGCTGGAACTGCTGCATCATACAATGACTACATTTACAGAGAGTGACGTGTTGCAGTTAATACCAAAGTGAAGATAATCTTGCATGGTATAGACACACTACCAACAATAATGAAAGACAATGGATGTGTCTTCCGCTCTTTATCTTCTTTACATTTTTCACTATAGACACGAAAATGGATGTGTTTTATCATGATATGAATATAAATGGATAAATACGGGTATGTTAGTTTCTTCATGTATTTTGAGAGTGCAGAGAGCCATAACTCCATATATGTGTACAAATATGCGTCGAATATGAGTGACAGACAAGGGTACTTCAAGAAAAATGAAACGTTAGAGCAACAGATAAAAAAATTCACACTGGAGTCTGTTTCCAGAAAATGAGGTTCACTAATTGATTATATAGAACATGGAATGAGAAAAAAGGAAGCTTAAGCAACCCTGTCTTTGGATCAAGTTGAATACAGAACAGTACTTGTAAAAGAAACCTCCAATGGCAGGAATGTAAGGCTTCTTGAATTGAGATAAATGTAAAACTCGTTAATTTATTCCTCTTTTCTCTTTTCTTTTCAGTAAAAAATGCTCAAACTATATACAATGAAGTATGAACTTACAGTTTTCCTATGGAAAAAACCTGAACTTCTATGTACTCCATCTACGTTTTGAAAAGATGGCACATTTGATTCGTTTCAATTGGTCTAATCATAATTCTACTATCTTGAAATATATGTCCTTGGATTTGGATATAAGTATCCATTATGCAGATACGGATATGTTTCAGATACGGATATCAAAACACATACTTCACCGATTTACCTTCTCTCCAGCAGCAAGAATCACCAATTGACCAGTTTCTGCAGGCTGTTTGCTACCAGAAACAGGGGCCTCAAGGAATTGGCCACCTTTTGACGTGATCGCCTATAGATATCCCATGGAAGAAAGAAATGAGTTGATTCGTTCACTGATAAGTCAGTATGAGAATGTCAAAGTGTAAATCATATTTGTTTCGTTAGAATCCACCAGTAACGAGGTTTAAAAACATTGTTTTCTATAATGTCTTTGGTCTTTTATCATGTAAAAACAGTAACATAATAACATTGACACCATTTCAACAGTTAAGAGTTTCTTTGCATTCATCATGTGACAAAATGAACCTTTTTTTATGGGAAACATACATGGATTAAATTTAGACCTCAAATAATATAATACTTAAGTTACTCGGATTGGTGGAGTGTCATCAAGGTATGAACCCTTGGAAGGTCATTGTTGAAACATTAATGAAACACGATGAATTAATGACTAAGGAGTATCTAATTACCTCACTGATTTTGCGTGAAGTCTCCGGATTAACCGTCGACATGTCGATGTAACCTTTACCGCTGCAAATTTGCTCAAGAACACCATCTTTATCGAAGACAACCTAACCAATCACAAAAATACATATTCTGTTGTGATGACAGTTTATTGAGACTTAACATATATGTACAGACCACACCAAGATTTGTATTTACCGAAAGAGCGGCAGCAGGATCAGACAGCATGGCAATGGTGATCTTACACTTCTTAACCACTTCTGCTGGGGTTTGTCCAACTGAGGCACCATGAACCACCAGTTCATTACACTGCAATCACAAAGTTTCAATGCCACAAACTTTGACTGTCACAAGAAAACACAATCAACCATTTTGAAGCTCTGATTATTGTTAATCAATTCAATCAAATTCCCATACACAAAAAAGAAAAGAAAAAATCTTTGAACCCATAACATAAAACTAAAAACTAACACCAACCCATCAATCAGATCTCAAAATGGAAACAATCTGGAACTGATTGATGATGATATTCCAAAAAAAAGTAAGCTAAAAATGGCTGAGAGTAATGAAAAAAGTACCTTAGAAAGAGTTCTGTTCCAAACAGTGACCTTGAATCCATTCTTTAGCAAATTCATGGACATGGCTTTTCCCATTATTCCTAGTCCCAAGTATCCGACTTCCATTGTCTTCTTCTTTGTTTACTCTTCTCTTTCACTTATGATTTCTTTTACAAGTTCATCTACCATTTCTTACCTACCAGACTCCATCATCTATGTATAGCCAAAAAATGGTATAGAAAAAGTTTCTTATTTTAATTTAATAGGTTACTGAAATATGTTACTACATTATCAAGCACTACAATGTTTAGCAAGTAAAGTAGTCGTATAAATTGTGGTTAGTGGATGGATGGATGGATGAGTTCCACGTAAGCTCTTGCAAGCAGGGGTGATCGTGCTCCACTATTCTCGGAATCCTCAGAGGATATGTTACTCTGTGGTTTATGATCCAGGTTAACTGAAGTCGGGAACCAATCATATTTTGCCACGTAGTAGGTTAAGTGAGAGAGTAAAAATCTAGAAAATTTCAGAATACAATTTATTAATACAAAGTTAAAAAATTGACAAAACTCGGTATCAAAAATTAAAAATTTTAAAGTCGAATTAAGTAATTTTTTTGGTTAAATATGTTATAATTGAAAATGTTAATTTTTTTTTTGTTATAAATACTAAACTCCTTAACATAATTTTTTTATTATAATAAAAACTATTATAAATTTATATAATCTTTTAATTAAAATTATTTTTAAATTAACCTTAAATACATCAGAATTATCACAAAAATCTCGTATTTACAACTTGAGTCGTTGTAGTGGGTCGGGTTTGGGTTCGGTTCGAATTTGGGATGGTTGTATTTCTTTCTCACTCGCCCTTGCACCCCCGCGCATTCGAATTTCAAACGGCACTTATCAGCAGCAGTAGCAGAGCTCACTTCAACGAAATTGACATCAACTTGATATCTAATCTATCAATGGCGAAGAACAACAAAGGCAGAAATACGAAGATACCAAAGTCGATTAAACAAGAAGAAGAGATAGCGGACATGGAAGATTTGTTTAGCGAAGGAGACACCCGCAAGATAAGAGCTTCGTTGTTGGATTGGTACGACGAGAACCAGAGAGACCTCCCTTGGAGAAGAAGAGCAACAACAAAATATGGAAATGGAAAAGACGTCAAAGAAGAAGAAGAAGAAGACGAAAAGAGGGCATATGAGTTTTGGGTTTCGGAGGTGATGCTGCAACAAACAAGGGTTCAGGCTGTCATTGGCAATTATAACCGTTGGATGCAAAAATGGCCCACCCTTCAGCACCTTTCTCAGGCTTCTCTTGAGGTCTTCAGTGCTTTGAAATTGTATTAATTTATGGTAATTGGGTTTTAAACGAAAATTTGTTTCTTTTTCTTTTCCATGGTATTTTGCAGGAGGTGAATGAGATGTGGGCAGGGTTAGGATATTACAGAAGATCTCGTTTTCTTTTGGAGGTTAGCGCTAATTTTCTTTTTGTCCATTGATGTACGGTTTCTATTGTACAAAGGAATTGCAGTTTGATGCTATCATGAAATCTTGAAGCTAATTAGTCGACGTGGCAATGCTCATGATTCCCGGTTTAGTGCTTTCAAGCATGGTTATGTCCATGATGATTGTATTGATTTTGATTTCAATTTCTGCACGTTTTCCAAAATGTTTATTGATGCATAAATATCATTAATGCTCATTGCTTCGTTGTTTTGTTAGGGAGCCAAGATGATTGTTTCTGGGGGAAGCGAGTTTCCAAACACCGTTTCTGCCTTGAGGAAGGTTCCAGGAATAGGAGATTATACAGCTGGAGCAATCGCTTCTATAGCATTCAAACAGGTTATCTGCAAGATTTTTTTCAAGATATAACGAGTGGAGTCTTTCTGATATTTGGTGTTTCAGGTGGTGCCTGTAGTCGATGGGAATGTAGTAAGGGTGCTTGCCAGACTAAAAGCTATTTCTGCGAATCCGAAAGAAAAGCATACTGTGAAGAACTTTTGGTGAGCTTTTACTTGTGTCTGCAACACATTTTGTTTCAATTCCTTTACAATTATTCTGTGTCTGGGAATAGGGATAGTGAAGTTTTTTCTTGTTACAGGAAACTGGCAGCTCAACTCGTTGATCCTTTGCGACCAGGGGATTTCAACCAGTCTCTGATGGAACTAGGTGCAACTTTATGCACCCCATTGAACCCAAATTGCACTACATGTCCTGTTTCAAGCCAATGTAGCGCATTACGCAATTCCAGAAATGATGAATCGGTTATGGTAACGGATTATCCTATGAAGGTGGTAAAGGCCAAACAAAGAAACGATTTTTCTACTGTTTGTGTTGTGGAGATATCTGCAGCAAGCCAAGATAGATCACAACAAAGCAAATCCGACAGCAGATTCCTTCTCGTCAAACGGCCAGATGAGGGTTTACTTGCTGGTCTTTGGGAGTTCCCTTGTGTTACATTGGATGAAGAAGCTGACTTATCTATGAGGAGAAAGTTAATTGATCAACTATTGAAGAAGTCAGTTAGGCTTGACCCTCCAAAGAACTGTAGCATAATTTCTAGGGAACTTGTTGGGGAGTTTGTCCATGATTTCAGTCACATCCGCCGTAAGATTTATGTTGAGTTCTTGTCGTTACATCTCGAAGGTTCCAAACTCTCTTTCTCTTTCTCCCAAACATATACATACACACATATTTCTTATTGTTAAGTATCCATTGTTTTCTCTCTGTTGGTATGTAGGTGGAATGCATGACTTGTTCAAAGAGGATGGCATAAAAACCATGGATTGGAAATTTTTGGATGGAGAATCCGTTTCAAGTATGGGGTTGACATCAGCTGTAAGGAAGGTATTGCAGTCATGTCTGAATTCCATGCTTGATATTTCCAGTAGCTTCTAAATTTTGACATCTTTGTAAGTTGTGGCTGGATTGATATAACAGAAAGTTCGAAAAAAACTGAGAATCTTTAGTGCAAAACTCCATTATGTCCAGACTCCTCTCTCGTTTGTTGGATAAGAGTATGCATCCTACATCGGTATATTTTTTTTCTGTTTTGCTAAGGGTCCTTGGAGGTTCCATCAACATAACCATCCTTGAAAAATGAAGAATCAGAGCAATATATATAGCTTAAAAAGTTTCCACTTGTTGTTATCAATCTCCTTCAATCTTGTTTCCTGAATGCAGGTATACTCCATGGTCCAAAAATTTAAGCAGAACGTATCATCCAGCAATTCCATCCAATCGAGAAAAAGGCTGAAGCGTTCATGAACCTAGTCGAACATGGATTCAAACATCGAACCGATTCACCATGGAAGATACGGACAACCTTTGTTCATAAGGGTGTACAACATCCATGTTCTCAGCGACTCATGGTGTCTTCATGACGGGATTGTTTTAGCCTTATTTTTTGAGAAATATGAACTTGGTGTATCATATCTATAATATCATTTTCCCTCTAAATGCTTCCATTTTTGGTTCAACTCAGTCAGGTGTGGCGGCCTTCAATTTTACATACTAAACTGACCATGGAATTCTCTGCTCAAGGAAATGATTAACATTGTAATATTTAAGCAAATTTATGTTGTTTTTGTTATTTGTTACGATTTATGTTCGGAGTTTTTATTTATTTCTCGTAGTAATGTTGTTGTTATGATTATTATTAAATTAAATGTTATGCAATTTGATAGATAATTCTGCAATTTGCCTATTTCGGGGTAAATTAAGAAACGCCAAAAATAGACAATTGGTATAATTAACTTAACTACGTAGATCTAACAGGAACAGACATCCTTGTAACTGTCACTCTAGCTCAAATTTCCTTTTCGTTTTGTTCATGTTATTACATTCCTCACCTACGTATATAAAATCCAAACTCTGTTTGGTTCTCTTCAAAATTCCTGATAAGAGAGATAAAGAAACAAAAAGGCAAGGAGATTCTGCTCTGTTTTCACCCGGCATTTTCTGTGGCGCCAAAAAGATCCAAGATCCAATCAGTTTGGATTTGAAACAGACTTCAAATCTCCCAGATCTTTCTCAGGTTCTTTCCTTCAATCTTCTCTTCTTGTGTTTTATGGATTTAAATCTAATCTGCCAGTTCTCAATCTGTTTTTATGATTTTGTATTATTATGTGAAAAAGTGAGTTTTTTTGGGATGTTTTCTTGCATTTTGGTATTGGATGGATCTACTGCCTTTAAAGTTGATGCAATGTAGTTGTTTTGTATATAGGCATCTGAGTTTTCCTCTTTCTGGATTTTTGTTATTTTAGTTAAATGTTTGGTTGGGACTTATTCGATTGAAATCGGTTTTTCTGCGTAGATTCCCTTTGATATTGAATGCTTCGGTTTTAGGTAGCTTAGATTCAAGACGTAATCTTCAAGATCTGCCATTATCATGGCTTTCTCACAAAGGAAGATGCCTGGAATCTGTTGGAGTTTTCTATTACTGGTTCTGTTTGCGCATTCTTGTCGCGGATTTTACCTGCCTGGGAGTTACATGCACACGTATTCGACTAAGGATGCTATATATGCCAAAGTTAATTCCTTGACTTCCATTGAAACGGAGCTTCCTTTTAGTTATTACAGTCTCCCTTATTGCAAGCCTATGGGCGGTATAAAGAAAAGTGCCGAGAATCTCGGTGAACTTCTCATGGGAGATCAGATTGATAATTCCCCATATCGGTTTCGAATGAATGTGAATGAGTCTGTCTACCTCTGCACTACCAGCTCCTTGAACGAGCATGAGGTTAAGCTTTTGAAACAAAGGACTCGTGATCTGTATCAAGTGAATATGATTCTAGACAATTTGCCAGTGATGAGGATTGCGAAACAAAATGGGGTTAACATTCAGTGGACAGGATTCCCGATTGGGTACACTCCGCCGAATAGTAATGATGATTACATTATCAATCATCTGAAATTCAAAGTCTTGGTTCATGAGTATAAGGGGAGTGGTGTGCAGATAATCGGAACCGGGGAAGAAGGAATGGGTGTGATTTCTGAAGCTGATAAGAAGAAAGCTTCTGGTTTCGAGATTGTTGGTTTCGAAGTGGTTCCGTGCAGTGTTAAATACGATCCGGATGTCATGACGAAACTCCACATGTTCGACAATATCTCCTCCGTGAACTGTCCCTTGGAGCTAGAAAAGTCACAGATAATACGAGAACAAGAGAGGATCTCTTTTACTTATGAGGTTGAATTTGTGAAAAGTGATATCAGATGGCCGTCTCGTTGGGATGCTTATTTGAAGATGGAAGGTTCGCGTGTGCACTGGTTCTCGATTCTAAATTCTCTGATGGTGATCACTTTCCTAGCGGGTATTGTGTTTGTCATTTTCTTGAGGACTGTAAGGAGGGATTTGACTAGGTATGAGGAACTGGACAAAGAAGCTCAAGCACAAATGAACGAGGAGCTTTCTGGATGGAAGCTCGTTGTAGGCGATGTTTTCAGAGAACCAAATCATTCGAAGCTTCTATGCGTGATGATTGGAGACGGAGTTCAGATTACAGGAATGGCCCTTGTCACTATAGTTTTTGCAGCTTTGGGTTTCATGTCACCGGCTTCACGAGGAATGCTACTCACCGGGATGATCGTTCTCCATCTTTTCTTGGGTATCTCTGCCGGATATGTTGCTGTTCGCCTCTGGAGAACCCTCAAGGGAACGACAGAAGGATGGAAGTCCCTTTCCTGGTCAGTTGCATGCTTCTTTCCTGGAATTGTCTTTGTCATCCTCACAGCATTGAATTTTATTCTATGGGGCAGCAAAAGCACTAGTGCAATTCCCATTTCCCTGTATTTTGTACTACTATCTCTCTGGTTCTGCATTTCCGTGCCTCTCACTCTCGTAGGAGGATACTTAGGGACTCGAGCTGAAGATATTCAATACCCCGTACGAACCAACCAGATTCCTCGCGAGATCCCTGCACGCAAATATCCATCATGGCTTCTCGTTCTCGGTGCCGGGACCCTTCCGTTCGGAACCCTGTTCATCGAACTCTTCTTCATCCTTTCTAGCATCTGGCTCGGCAGGTTTTACTACGTGTTTGGCTTCTTGCTTATAGTTCTCCTCCTACTGATCATCGTTTGTGCTGAAGTATCAGTGGTCCTTACCTACATGCATCTCTGCGTCGAGGACTGGCGATGGTGGTGGACCGCTTTCTTCGCCTCCGGTTCGGTTGCACTGTACGTGTTCCTCTACTCCATCAACTACCTGGTATTTGACTTGCAGAGTTTGAGCGGTCCGGTTTCGGCCATTCTTTATCTTGGTTACTCCATGATCATGGCGGTTGCAGTGTTGTTGTCTACAGGCACCATTGGCTTCATAACTTCATTCTATTTTGTTCATTATCTTTTCTCGTCCGTCAAGATTGATTGATTAAAACATCCATTTGTTTGATCTTTGGAAAGACATTGAAACGTATAAGAGGATGATGAGTTTGATTCTTCATTTTGATTTCGCTCAATTTGTAACTTTTTTCTTTTTTAATCTGATAGAAAGCTTCATTTTATTTAATAACATCCTTTGCTATTTTCTTTCTTGTCTTTTAACATTATTTTTTAATGTAGAAATTAATTGCTTTTATTTTTATATTATTTTTAAAGAAATATGATAATTTATTTAAGTTGGTGTCACATAATTCATAACCCCAAATTTGATTAACATGAAGAGATAATATATGTTTAGGATTTTTGTAATTATTGATAACATATACACTTCTTGTAAACATGATTATTTGAACTAAGGCTTCAACAGAAAACAACACTCTCTCATAGATTTAATTCGTTTTTTTTTTGCTTGATACAATTATTGTAATTTTTAGAGATAATATATTTGAATTCTATCAAGTAATAATAGCTTCTAATTTAGTTTTTAAAGGAGTATATCTAATTTAAGCATTGTAGAAAAAAATTCAATGAGTAATTATATATATAAACTAGGGTGGACTACTCATATTATTATAATTTAATCTTGGTTTAAAAAAAAATCTTCAACATTTGAAAATTATATAAATTTGACTTTTTCTACATACATGTTTTAGATCATTTTCCTGGCAAAACTTTCGAGATAATGTTCTAGAAGAAATTAATTCACGAGCTAATGCACTCCCAAGATTAATTGTTCAAATAGGGTGAAATCCACAGTGTTGGTCGTAGGTCGCCATGCCTTAGTTCAAATAATCTATGAGAATGAACGTGTTTACAAGATTAATTGCATGTGTCGGGCGACCTACACTTGCTCAAACAGAGAGAATGAACGTGTTGCATGGCACATACACGTCCCAACACATAGGTCGCCATGCCCTCCGGGCGACCTTGTAGGTCGCCATGCACTCCGGGCGACCTACCCTTGCTCGCTCGCTCGGATGCCCTCGCATAGCTCGCTCGGCTGCCCTCGGATTCCCTCCCATAGCTCGCTCGACTGCCCTCGCATAGCTCGTTCGGATGGCCTCGGATTGTTGAGACGTGCATGGCACATGCAATCTCTTGTAGCTCGCCGGGAAGACATGGCGACCTAGTAGGTCGCCCGGAAGGCATGGCGACCTACGACCAACACTGTGGATTTCACCTTATTTAAACAATTAATCTGGAGAGTGCATTATCTCGTAAATTAATTTTTTCCAGAACATTATCTCGAAAGTTTTGCACATTTTCCCTCACCAAAAATGTCCTATCCAATTTCTCTTTACTCACTCAAAACAAAACCCAGAATTCGGTGCATAATGTCTCGTTGACCTTGCGTTTGGCTCTTACTGATAACCACTTGTTGTATCTGCTGACGCTACCGCACTTACAGATTGACTCGGGAGCATGATGGAGCCAACTCTCCAGCCACTGGGATCACGGATCACCGGTAACTTATGGCAGTTGCATATGTCGATCATGAACCCATCCGGGTCGTGGAAGAACAGTTATTCCACCTTCTTCCACCATTGTTCACACGCGTAGTCTATTTCCATGTCCTTCAGCTTCTTCTCCACTGCCCCCATGCTCTCGCACTGAACAAATTAAGAGATTGATTAGTTAACTAAGCTGCAAATCAATAGCTGCTATTATTAGTTCTTTATCAACTTATAATTATATCTTCTTCTTATCGTTCATATCACCATATGCATACAATACAAGGACCCATTCCAGCATGAACTTCAAAAAGAAAAAAATATATAAAAAAATTGTCACCTTCGTTTTCGTTTTATTCATTTTTTATTATTAATTTTTTTTAAAATATTTAAATTATTTATATTATCAACTCATTAAATTTTAATCATTTATGTTGTCCATTGTTACATTTTAGTTATTGAATGGTTAAATTATATTACTTTGATGACATTTTTTGTTAGGATATAATATTAATTTGGTCTTTGAACTTTTAGCTAAAATATTATTTTGAGATTAAAATTTATATAAAATATCAATTTCACTCTTAAATTCAAACAAATTCTCTCATCATCAATCATCATTGTCAGTCACTATTGGTTATTGATTATCGATGACTATTGAATTCCAAAATATTTAGTTTACTTATTTTAAACCTCTTGAATTTAAATCTAATGTGTTTCACTAAATACCATAATCTCAATAAATCTAGCCTAACATCATTCGATTTTAATTATGATATAATTTTAAAAATGTTAAAATTAAAATCAAATTATAATAATGTGTAAAAATCAAAGGTTAAATTTTATTATACCAATTTTGGTAATTATACAAAATATTAAAAATTTAATAAAAAAGATTAATTTATTAGTATTATTAGTTAAATAATTATTTTATAGTAACATTTTATAATTAAAGATTTAAAGGACTAAAAAAATGCCGAGTAACTATTTATTCTATCTCCTCTGATTTGATCCCTCTCAATTCATGCTCCTCTAGTGCCAGACCCAAGCCCTCTCTTGCATCCATGTTCCCGATTGATCATGAAATCAAATAAGGTAATTTTTGAAACCCTAAACTTACACATTTCTAAATACTTTAATCTTGGCTCGGTTTGCGTCATCTGCTCTCTGCTTCTACATCACTCTGATATATTTAATTTTCTGATTTCTTGTTACTCTTTCTCATCTCACACTCTCCCTCTCGCTCTCGCTCTCTCTCTATGTTCACTTTGTTGAGAAGGAGAATTTCTTTAAAAGGTATCGGGTTAGCGGAAATAGGAGACCCTTTATCGCCGCTATTTTCCGATAAACTATTATTTGCGGCCGTGATACGCCGCTGCTAATGTGAAATTTGTTCACACGCGCTATTGAGGTCTTTAGTGGTGGCGGACGGCGCCGCTACCACCACTAACTGAAACCATAAGAGTCATAAATTTAGTAGGACTTTTGGTTGTTTCTCGAGAAAAATGAAAAATCGTGGAAAATACTTGAGTTTCGAAGCGATTGAAGCCTTTTATAGGTAATGTCATAGTGTTCATCTGAAAAAACGTTTTACGCGGTTTAATGTCGAGCTTATATGACTCCTTTATCAGTTTTATGCTAATCCGTTATATTAAACTTTTGGCATAGGATGAAGCTAACGGAGAACACCATTTAGATGGTAAGAATCATGGAGCATCTGGGGATGCTGGTTCCAGTCAAATAAAGGATAATCATAATAATAGTAATGCTGATGCTGATGTTGATGGTATGGGTAATGTCAATGTTAATGATGACGCCCATGCAGACCTCGATGACAAGGTGGATGGTTATGAGGAGGTGATGGTGGATCCATGTGCTAGAAGTTACCATGCCAGAGACTTCATTGTTGTTGATTCTTTTAAAGGAGAGTATTGTTTTGAATGCAATACCAGAAGTGGTCAGGTTTTCGTCTGCAGCAAAAATGGATGCCCAGTTGTTTTCCATGTGGAGTGCATGGCTTGGAAACCCAATTTGATGATATGGGTAAATTCTACTGCCCTTATTGTTTGTACAGGCAAGAAGGGTCCAGGCTCAAAGAGTTCAGACCGAAAGCTATGTTGGTGGAGAAGGAAACATCCAACTTTATATGTTTGATAAGGGGTGGTGGAAGTCATTAGAAGAAGGAAGGTGGAATGGTGAGCATGAAAGGAGCAAGTGTATTAACAATGGCAAGGGAAGTGAGTTATGGTGATTGTGGAAATGGGCTAGATTATGTTGGCAAAGAGACTATACATCATAATCAGGATGAAACACTGGGTGTTAAATTCAGAAGCAAAGAAAAATCCCTTGAGCATAACATCTCTAGAGCCCATGGGTTTGACAAGGTCGGGAATGAAGAACCGATGCAGGAGGATATAGAAATTCCTAATGGTGAATATGATGAAACTGATAAGGTAGAGCCGGTGCTCCCAAATGCAGTAGGAACTACCTTCCACAGGTGTCAAAACCATTACAAACAAATAGCTATCAAGGCACAACCGCTTGCAGTTATTTTACCGGATAATTCATCATTTCAACCAAGTACCAGTGCAAATAATCTGGATTTGAACCAAGAGAGAAAAACTATAACAGAAAAAACCTCTGTGGAATGCCGAAAATCAACCAAGCGGCCGTAAGTTTATTCATGGTTTTTATTTTGTTTAAGGAAGGCAACATTCATAAAAAAACCATCTTGGGCATGGGATGCATCATAGTATAGGGCCTTGGTTTTTGGTTAACCACTACGCTCTAAAATACCTTATTTTTTCATCTAAATTGCAGCTTGAGTCCCATAGTGGGTACTGAAAAGCGTAGGAAACTAAACTGGACAGCTGAAGAGGAAGATATGCTGAAGGTATGAAATTATTGACGTTTTCCTCCCTTTTTCTAATTCTGTATTTGCTAACATGTATTAACTTTGTATAGGTTCAACTTGATTTTTACTATGTTTCTGTTTCCTTTGTTCTTCTTTACATTTGAAACATAAATTTCAATGGTTAACATGCATTCCCGCTTTCCTTTCTGTAGATGTGTATGTTATATTTATTTCTAAAAGTCCATGCATCCTTTGCTAATTTATTAAAAGGACGTCTCTCCTCAGTTCATGATCCTTAGAAAGATCCCATTAAATTAAGAATTTTAAGTTGTCAGCTTCTGATGCACAACATAACCACGTGTAGTTTTCTAAGTGCCAGTTATGCTAACAAAATGGTTTCTAGTTCCCCTTTTTTTAACAATCTTTAAGACTTGGTGCAAAAATCTCCAAGAGGTTAGGCATGCCTTTCTTCTGCCTTTTACCCTTACTGGTACATGCCCACGAAAGGTGCCTTGACTCTTGGAGTGGTCTGACTCTTGGTGCTTTTGCTAGATTGCATATTTTGGTAGTGTTTAGGCATGTATGTCTCTTGACTACACTGATCGGATGGACTAATTTGCTGGAATTGAAGAATTAATTTTCCCGACTGCAGGAATTAGTGCAGGAATTTTCAAGTAAAGTACACAAAAACATCCCCTGGAGGAAAGCTTTGGAACAGGGTCATTCTGTTTTCCACTCGACTCGACTTCCAGCTGACCTTAAAGATAAATGGAAGAATATTGTGGCTAAAGAGATCTCTAAAAGGTAAAAGAGGTACAGATTACAACTTGAAGTTTTGAACAGTAAGGTAATAGTTTTTTGTTGTTAATGGTTGTCATGCAGGATTTGGAATTCTCTCATGAAAGTAGGTAGGTGGTTCAAAGCCCTTTTGTTGTAAATATGTCCTACAAATTAGGTAGGCATGTAGTTCAATGTATCTTTTGTATGCCTTTGGTGACATTTACAGTAGGAAAAGCAAATGCGCCATTAGGATTCCATAAATCAAAGATTGATAGCAAATGTTGATCACAAAAAAAGAAAAACTATAGCAAGGTAGGTAAGATCAATGAACAAGAACATAATCAGGCCATGCAAACATCCCCCAAGATTGCTCTTTCATTCAAAGTTAAGTTAATTTTGTTCCTTTAATTATGGTTCAGAACTAATGATCAATAAATTTGGGGTCCAAATTCAGCATTTCCCCCCACTGATATGTTCAGATTGATATCTTCTTTCTTTGTAGTAAGAAAATAAATTAATTTGAGAACTTTTCCTGGTAGTTTGAAAAAGTGTCGATATGCCCGACATTCTCCAGCATGTATTTATCTGCTTTTTTCTTTTTGTATTGTTAGGTTAATCTTATCCGGATGATCTAAGCTCATGTTGATGCGTAGATTGTTAAATTTGTATATCGATTTGTCAAGATCACAACTTTATAGCCAAAGCATCAAGAAAGAGTGTAGTCAGCAAAGCTGACTGACTATTTCAAGCCGAGTTTCTTATAGAAGACCCAAGACCGGACCTTAATTTCCAACATACGAAATCTTACCCTACATTGATTCGTGTGTGTGTGTGTGTGTAAATTATAACTATTACTCATATAATTATAAAGATTTTTAATTATACAAATAACTGATCCGTATATGGAACAAGACTAGAAACTAATTATATTCAAAACAGACATTTACCGGGGCGAAAACTTGCTTCTAAGCCAATATTTTTTACATTTCAAAAGACTGAAAATTTAAAAGTAGAACGGACTATTTCAAGTTCACATGAAGTAGAGGATGTTGTTTTCAATAAATAAATCTTTAAGTTATCACTATGAAAAGAAATTGAAAAAAGAAGAAGAAAACATAAGATATAAAAGGGAATAGAAATGATAGGAAGAAGCAGCACCGTATGTTCTTTGTTGTTGGTTTATCTAACGTTTTGGTGGCTTTATCTATCGCTCGCCCATTCAACAATCCCTCAGTTTTCACCTTTACAAGGTTCAATTCTTAACCCCCTTTTTACGCATTTGATTATAATCTAATCCTCGAAATATTAATTAAATTCGTTAGCATATTGTTGTTTACATGCGTATTGATTGTTTATTTGGATATGATATGAAATATATGTGAATCAAAGTTGAAAGTTTTTACTTATTGCATAAACGATATAATATTTAAATTGTCTCTCTTATAAAAGTGCAATTTCGTTCAAAGTTTGATTCACATTTTCCAATATGCTTTGAATTATATCCAAAGCTAAATAAAAGGCTGATATTAAGGACTTTATTACAATATCTTAAAGTTTATGACATGATATAAAATTGATTTCAATCTCCACCGTACGGCAGAAAATCCGGTTAATCAAAGTTTGGCTCGTTGGAGTCTGCAGAAGGGTCCGGTACCCAATCGTCCCTCTTCGCTACCAAATAAACCGCCTCAGCATAGGAATCCGTCGCCTCCGAAACCAAGCTAAAGTCACAGCAGTCAGATGAAATGTAACCGAAATTTGAAAAAATAGATAATCCGCACGTTATTATTATATGTATTCATTTATTTATTTTTATTGATAATTTATTTTTATTTTCTAAAATTTTATGATTTATAATTTAAAAGACAATATTTGTTCTGGATATTTATTAATTATTGGCAATGCACACATCTTGCAGACGCAACTATTCGAACTCAAAATCTTTAAAGAAAATAATATTCACTTCAACTATCTAGATCACTTAATGGATTCATTTTTATAATATTTTAAAACATAAAGGACCGCCTTTTTTATGTGTATTGCACACTTAAAATACATTGGAATGTGGTGTGACACAATTATTAAGCTCAGGTTGGCAATAAGGTAAACATAAAGATGTCCCCTTTACCTTTCTTGTGCTCCAAAGGAAACATGTTAGTATTAAAATTGACCATTACCATATTATTTAAACAATTTTGTGCACGTATCTGTAACCTACATCCAAAGTTATTTCAATTTTGGATGCTCTTACAACAACTCAAATTAGGTATTAAAAGAGTGAAAGAGCCATTTAAGTGAAGAAGGGAAGAAAATTAAGGGAAAAGTTAAAAATTTGTAAATTTTTTAATGTACTTAAAATTTATTAATATATTTTTTTACGCTTCGACAATTTGCTTTAGTTAGGTTTTTTTAGTTCATATTATTATATTATTCTTTAATTAATTTTATTCTGATTGTCTTGTATTCAGTGATGGATTCAAGATACTAACTTAAGAGATAATGTGTAGTTGATAATTAATAGGATATAAAACTAAAATAAATTAAAATTAGGAGGTATAATTAAATATTTATCCATATATATCTTTTAATAAAAGAAAAGTGAGAACAGTGAGCATAGCTTCCTCCCTGCTTATGCTTTAATTTATTCAATATTTTGTATAGTTATAACAACGATTTAATTTATTCAATATATGTGTTGGTCGTTAGTCAATTAACGATTTCTACTGAATAGAGATTATTTTAATCAAAATTGAAACGTTAGAAATTAAAATGTTTCAAAAAAATTAGGGATCAAATAATCATTTAAACAAACATTGAAACTAACTTTATGATTATATCTATCTTTAAAATTAAAGGTGTAAATAGGTTATCAACAGATTATACGATGGTTAGACATGCAAGACGTATATTAATAAAAATACTTTTAATTTACATTATATGTTCCATGTTAAATACCTTTCGAAGCATTGAATTAAGATTGGTTGTTGGCGGTTTGTTAGGCATGAAACCTCCTGCCACACGTCAGTCTGCGTGTCACTTTTTGATTTGCTGGTATATTATTATTATTATTTTTGTTAAAAACAAGGAAGATTATTGCACATCTCCATTCGGATATTATAATTTAAATCCGAATTAAATATCATAACAAGATATCTCAATGTTGATATAATAATAAATTGTCACAATGTCATTTAATGGTAATTTTAAAATATTTTGTAAAAATGTATATTAATGACGTAAAATGAACATAAATAAGGAAAAAATCCTCGGATAATGCATTGAAATAAAAATTCTTCAGATATTGATGTCGAAGAATTATTTCCTGAAATGGAGTGATTACTATATTAATATTCAAGCATTGTTCTACACACAAAAGATTCAAACGCGAAGCACCTAAGATTTTGTTTAACAAAAACAGCACCCGGTTCAATGGCTTTAACGGCTATATCGAGATCCTGATTAGCTAACTCCGTTTCCTTTATAATTAATTTCATAAAAATACGAACCGATCTCAAAGCTTTATGGAGAGAATAAAAGAAGCTAGAGAAGGGAAAACAAAGGAGTTGGAGTTGGGGAAAGGGGGTGGTGTTACGGTGATGTTGGCGGAAGAGAGAAGCGACCTAAGTGGTCGCATGGCTTGCATGGCGACCTGCACAGGTCGTTCGGCTTGCATAACGACCTGCATAGGTCTTTTGGACCACCTGTCGACCAAGCAGATTAATATAGTAATCACCCCATTTCAGCAAATAATTCTTCAACAACAATATTTAAAGATTTTTTTTTTCAATGCATTATCTGAGGATTTTTGCCCATAAATAATGAAATAACAAATGTATATAAATTCACACTTCATGATGATACTCTACATCCGTCATTGGCATGATTTGTAGATATTGTGAAATAAATAACCTTAATGGGATAGATTTCGAAATTCCGGTTCAAAGTGAGGAGGATGCAAATCTTATACCCTTTTTATTCCGAATTCGTTACCCACTCTGGCACAAATGATGGATAGATCATAAATACAGGGATAAAGTGAGGTCGTATAAGAGTAGTATATTATCTATAATATATAGTATAAAAATATAAGGGAACATTTTTTGAATGGAATAAAAAATAATATATAGTATGTAAATTAATTATTATTTCATGTATTAATAGTGAAAAAATTATATACACGTTTAGAATATTATCATATATCTTATTTAGAGACCTTAAATTTATAAATCATAAACAATAAACTATAGATAAAACATACGATAATATTTAAAATATTTTTTAATTTTTTTTAATAATTAGTGTAAGATAATGATCCTTAATATTAATATTTTGATTATTAACAAATACTATAAACTATTTGAAACATATCTTTGCCTTCACCTCTTAGTCTTGTTTGAGTAAATGGAGTGGTTGCCTCATCCCTTAAAATAAAAGCATTTCCTTTGAAATAGGAAAGGGAGATTTTTGTTTGTTTAAAGTTTAGATATTTAGAACAAACACGTCTAAGAATATAGAAAATATCAAACAAAATTACAAACGTCCTTGTCACACACAAGGAAAAAGGGCCTACTTTTTTCACTCTCCCCATTTTGCCCTTTTCCTTTGTTTATATTTACTTGTTATGTATTTAGATAGATAAACCATTTAATAAAATATAATTATATAGAAAGAACGCAGTCTTTATCATACACAAGTACCCATAGTTTTATAGATATTAATTAACTCAAATTGAGTATAGTTTAGGTTTATGAGTTTTGGTAATAAATGTTGTTAGGCATGACTTAAGATCAAATTAAGTTTATTTAATATTACTCATTTAATAATAATTACACTATATTATTGAAATATTAAATCAGCCTATCCTGTATGGCCAAGTCGTATAAAAAACATTGTACTTTTTTAATATTTTATTATTTGTTTTTTTCTCTCTCTTTGCACTTTTTATAAGCTTATGTCATCGCATTTTCCATATGCACCACCCACCGATATCTATCTCTTCACTTCCATAACCAAAACTATCAGAGAAAGAAAAAGATCTGGAAAGCTCAAAAAAAAAATCAATAATTTTTCCAGTTCAATATTAAGGTTGTTACCGATCTTGTCCTTTTATTTTTTTTTTCTTGGTTTCTATTGGGGTAGAATTCAAATTCTCCTATTATTTTAGTTCTTAATTTGATTTTCCCGGGTTTGTTTTTCTTTCTTTCTTTGACTTAATTTTGATCTTGTTTTGGGTTTTGGATTTGCCCTTTCTTTGTATTTCTGGGTCTCTGCGTTTGTTTCTTTATCATCTGTTTTCCTGGTTTTGCTTATGTGATTTTGTTTGATTAT